GCCAAGACAAATGGATTGTTTGATTTAATATTTAGGTTGATCAAGACCTATAAATATTCAAATATTTTTTATTATTAAGTCAAAAATAAATTACTACAAAACATTATTCTGCACATCTATTGATAAAGAAATAGTCAATAAGTCACAGATCCAAACAATGAATTATTATTCGATCACAAAATTAAATATTAATTAATCATGGATTAGCTTGAGGAGTAGTCTATGTAATTAAATAATTTATGGAGTATAATTTTATGTAACACTAAATCCCAAAAAAGATGCAAAAGAATTAAATGTGCTTGTAATGTTTAATTAATTTTTTGGGTGTATGGCTGTAAAATTAATCCCTAATTGACCTTGGCTTATTCAATGATCATGTGCTGTTGTTCCATATTTGAATTTTTACTTCTTTCAATCAGTAGTTTAGCAATTGCATGTGCCCAAATCAATTTAAATTTTTCTAGAAATAAACCATCTATAGGACTATTTTCAATTTAGGCCGCATGAATCTTGCTCTTTCAATTTCTTTTTTCCCTAATTGTGTGATGTTTGCTTGATCTATGAGATATTGAGATACTATGATTTATTGCAATAAGATTTGTGTCCATATATGTCTTGCCTCACTGAAAATTTTATAGTAGTCATTCTTAAAATGACTACCATTATACTATTTTCTTATTGGCTGATTTTTATTTTTATTTCTTTTATTTCTTTTTATGTCAAAATTAATTATAAATGTTTTTTCTTATTTTAAAATTTATATTTTATTTTTATATATTTTAATAATTAATTTATGATTTATTTTTTAATTTCAATAATAATAAAAACAGAATTTTGTAAATTAATTAGGAAAATTAAAAAATATTCAAAAATTATTTCAAATTTGATAAATGGATTTCAAAACTTAGATAAATGATTTATAATTTAATATTGACATTAAAAATTAAATCAAACTGGCCAATAAAAAATTAGTATAATGATAGTCATTTTAAAAAATGACTACCATAGAATCATTCTAATTTTGCTATCATCATTTAATTTGTACACTATTACTTCCTTCGTCCTCTAAATGTCTCTACATTTGTGTTTGACATGTATTTTGATATAAATAGAAGAAGTGAATGAGGTTATAGAGAAAAAAGAGTTAGGGAAGTTCGTTCAGTAAAGAGTTACAAGAAATAAAATGAAAATGAGCACTCTTATCAAGTTAAGTTCCCCAAATTAAATATCCTACAAGAGTATAAGATTATGTTCTTTTCATCTAAAAAAAAATATTTAGATAAATTTCTAGAGTTTTCAAATCGATTTAATTAATTAGTAAAATTATATTTTTCGACCAAAGCAACATTTTACTTAACCATATTAACGTACAAATTTTCTTCAAGTAATCCCTCTTGTTTACCATATCTTCCCTAGTCCCTGTGGAACTATATATGGCAGAGAAAGTAACAGAAGGTGCAGGTGGAAGAGCGATATATATACTCTCTTCATCTCGAAATTTTTAATAAATAATTTAACATGACATTCTTCTACAAAGTTAAAAGATGATCCGATCTCCTTACAATACCTACACACTACATTGTTCAATTCGTATCCAAAAATTTCATAATATCAATTCCCCGGGTTCATATCACTCTAATACATAGTCATATCATAATAACCGTACAAAGATTGTTTTCCATTTTATGCAACCTGACAATAATTTGGGTGCATGGTATGTAATAAGAAAATAGTATAATGGTAGTCATTTTAAGGATGACTACTATAAAATTTTCAGCAAAATTAAATTGTGTAGAGCAAAGTCTTATAACTCGTATAAGATATGGTTACTATAACTTGTTGCAAGAGTTAAATGAATTCCAATTTACGGTGTGGTTGCAGTCTTTAAAAATAGTGCACTTACTTAAGAGTACATCAATTTGGTTCAAAAATCTTAATTCTGTGTAGGAATGAGACCATGGTGTCACATAAAATTAACAGAGTAACATAAAATCAAAGGAGTACGTATAACTTATTTCGTAACTATATCACATGAAAGATTGGTCATAATCTCTGACTTTCTGGTTACAATTGTGATATTTTAATATCATAGTTAAATTAATTTATCCTTGCAATATATTAATTAATATATACTGAGAAGAGATTAATTATTATAATAAATTGCTGCTTGATCGAATTATATTTAATTAAGTAGACTGGATAACGATTGAGCACTCGCCTTTACGGTTGATCGAAGCGAAAAATCATGGCGAATATCTTATTTATGCTTTTTCCTTTATTGTAGAAGATAAAACAAAGTTTAATATTTCATTTTGCTAGCCAACAACATGTGATGACGTTTTGAATTTATGTATTAAAATGTTACAATAGCATTTTTTATAACAGCGGCCTAAATTTTCATTTTAAGATCTTATATACGTAGTATTAGTCATATAGTAGATGTTAGATCGATTGTTCATTTTGAATTATTTGATCATTTAATTATAAAAAATAGTATTAAATAAATTATATGTGTCATTTTCGAGTATTGATTGATTCGTTAATATTGATTTGTTAATGTGCTGACAATAGATACCTGCTATCAATCGTTACATTTGATAATCGATTTATGTGTAGCTTAGACCATACTAATCTGAAACGAACTTATGTATTGTTCCCTTTTTCTAATCATCTAACCACTTTATTTAGCGTGTAAATTATGGGAGAGTAATGTGTGAGTCCGGACTCATGCATGGTGAGATAGTTAGATGGATATAAGTTATTGGAAATTCTTTATAAGTTTTAAATAGCTCACCTTTTGAAATTTAAAAAAAATAAAATAAAAATTGAACATATGTCATATAAGTTTTTGAAAATTTCATATTGAATATAGGTTATTGGACATATCAAATTTTTGGATGTATGTATTGAGAGGAAAAACTTATAATAAAACGGATTCACCCAATATTTTGTACTGAATAATCGATGTAATTTTTTTGTTCTTTTATATCATTGCATTATTTTGTTTGTTCTAATTGTCAATGTTGTAGCTAATAATATATTTTTTTTCAAAGAAACTTGTACTTCATACATTATATATTAGAAAATTAGCATGGATGAAAGGCATACATCATAAAACATTTTCTTATTTGTTCAATTAGAATAGTGAGAGTACTTACTCATTAGCTTATCTTCCAATTAAGTTTCCTAGAAGTTGTAACAAGAATCGAATTGTGATTTAATTATATATTTTCAAAGTAATCAAATAATTTCGTTTATTAATTTTAACATATTGTTATTAGGTAGTTGATATTGATTTTTAGTTAATTAGTTTTAATTATATTATTTAGTTTCTCTGATCTTTACCAGGATATTTCTTAACTATCATAAGTCAAATATATATAAACTCTTAGCACTCTATAATGATTGGATTATTTGTGATTTTTGAAAAACCTAAGGCAATATATATTTGTTTAACTTATGCAATAATAACAAATCGTAGTAATAATGAAGACTATACATAGTATATATTAGCTAATTAATTAATTATTAGAAAAAATAAACTCATTATCATTATCACGCACTATATATTACAACACCTTAACTAAACAAGATATACGTGAACAAAATGTGCACACAAATAATATATTACTCCGTACTGTCTTTGTGGTTATTTTCAATATTTTAAAGTTATGAGCTAGGTGTTTTGTCTGTTTGGAGGTGATTCTCTTAAATCTCCAAAATGTATAAGATAATGATAGAATTTTATTTTAATCAAATTTTAACTCCAAATTTTGCATGATGGATTAGTTGAAATAAACGAATTTTTTGATCCTTCAAAAAGGTAGATAAATAATCCATTGATTTTGGAATCCCGAGTCATATACAAATATGTATCATTTCGATCGGAAAAATTGTTGCCAATTATGTTATTGAGTTCCAAATTTTTTTATGGATAGGTCCCTAGTAGTTTAAGCCTCTCATTCCATATTCCCATTAATTATTCATGGGCAATTTTTCGAGTATCCTAAGTCCCATAATTCTTGAAAGTGAGAAAAGGTTTTCTTTTAGCTCCATGCTTCTCTAGAATTGAGAGCCTTTATTTTAAAGGTTTTGGAAAACGGTACTCAGTATAATACTTCTCATAATAATAGGGTTTTATAAAAGGAAGATTGGACAAAAGATTCATGGTTTTTTTTAGCAAATTCGGATGATACAATTTAAACTCCATTCGATTTCTTATTCTCTATCAAAGAATTTTCAGATGAAAAGAATGAGAAGAACGCTTGGATAAACTTTCCTTGATTACTTACTTTCATTTCTTAGTCCGGCATAGCATGACAACTTGTTTAAGGCTTTTTTTTTTTTTTTTTTTTTTTTTTTTTTTTTTTTTTTAAATATGTGTGTAGAGAGAGCTACAAGAACAATGATGTACATGACATTCGAATATTCGATCCTAATTTTTGAACACCACTTCTAAGAATTTAACCAATAAAGCTATGTCATTCGATTTGCTGCTTAATTAGTACGTTACCAAGTACGAATTATATGTACTACTTAATGTACTGTATCAGTTGTCAGTAAAATGGCGAAAACGCTAACATTAGGTGAATGATAATAAAGCCAAAATAGCTTAGATTGTTAAAGATCCAAAAAAAAGGTGCATCATTTTCATTGAGTTAGTAGTAATTAGTAAAATATTCCTGGCTTCAGAATATAATGTTTCACATTAATTTGCACGTCTCCTTTGTTAGCTTATTAGCCCTATGTACCCATTGGCCTATCCACTGGAAATAAACTACTGACCGTACAGATTAAACGGAGGCAACTAACCTTAGCTTGATTTAATTTTATTATTATTCTTATAATAATAATAATAATAATTAATACTATACATTATTAATTTATGGCAACAATTAATTATTTATTTATAATCACCAAAATAATAAATAATAATTGTGTTATTTGAACAAATCAACTACTTTAAAGTTGGCCTTATTGCTTAAGTACACCCCCATGCCAGCCCTTTTGTCACACCCCACATAAGCATGACATCCCTTTGATATTAAAAAGGACATCTCTTTTGATTCTTCTTCTTCAATTCCTCCATTATACAATTTTCTCTTTCTCTCTCTTGAAAACTACAAACAAGAACAAGCTTTTAGTAGAATCATCAATCAAGCTAAAGGCAACTCAAAGATCGGCGCGAACACGAGGATAAATCGGCCTCGAGTATGGAAGCTAGCTTAAGTGAGTTGTACTCAAATATGAACTATCATATGGAGGATAGAGAAATCTCGTCGGATAATAGTGGTGATAATTCTCCGCCTTCTACCACCTTCAACGCCTCCATTTCCTCTCCTAAGAGAAGGTTAGTATGTACCTTTAATTATTAAGGACGCATCTTTACAGTTGTCCGTCCAGTATACAGTAGTCTGTACGATTTCTAGCTTCGCCACTGGCTATGCTGTGTAATAACATGTGGTTATAACTTTGATAGTAGGCGAGCTATACAGAAAAAAGTGATGACGTTTCCACTCAAAGAAATCGAAGGATCTCGATTCAAAGGCGATTGTACTCCGCCATCGGATTCATGGGCTTGGAGGAAGTATGGCCAAAAGCCTATCAAGGGTTCTCCATATCCTAGGTACTATTCTTTCCCCATCACTTAATTATTAGTAGTTCATTTGTACTTTTAAGGTATATACAGTTACTCCATTCAATCATGTTAGATCCATTATTTGATGTCATGAACTACATACGACCTTATCTACAACTTTGTTAATGTGTAAATACTCGTAAACTCAATTGAGACTATGCATAATGCATATTAAAACGTAAGAATTACTTATTATTGAATTTAATTAAGATCTTTGAATTGTTATCTCACATGAATCAATTTTTTTAAGTTAAAATTAGTGATTTTATGTGTAACTAAGTTGCCAAATTATGCACTAATTTGTTTTTTAAATTAAACTTTGCAGAGGATATTATAGATGTAGTAGCTCAAAGGGTTGTCCAGCAAGGAAGCAAGTAGAAAGAAGCCGTTCAGATCCAAATACGTTAGTAGTCACGTACTCTTATGAGCACAACCATCCTTGGCCTATTTCGCGAAACCACCACCACCAAAACCGCCACAACAACGCTGCTGCTGCCACCAACACCACCACTTCCACTTCCACTCCCACATCCGAAAACATTAGCACCAACACCACCATGATCTCCTCCACAACATCACTAAATATCCCCTCAACTAGTACTAATAAATCATTACAACCAAAAATAGAAAACCATGCAAATGACACCATATTATTCCAACAAAATATAGATCATCATGAGATTCATGACCCTTTGCTACATCCTACGGATGAATTATCTTGGTTTACATCGGATCATCAAATACTCGAAAACAACGAGTTTCTTAGCAACTTCAACGACCTAGACATGTCAAAGATATTTCCAATGAGGGAGGAGGATGAGTCCCTTTTTGCCGACCTAGGGGAGCTTCCGGAGTGTTCGGTGGTGTTCCGAAAGGCGGCTGGGGTGGCCGCCGTGGAAGAGTGTAACTTGGCACCCACAACTTGGTGTGGGACCACGGGTTGAGGTTGGTTAGTTAAGGGTATCACACCCATCATATATTCACCCACCCGGTTGTCTACATTTGTGTGCTGGCCTATAATGCTAGTATTAGGCCAAAATTAATTATTTTTAATTAATCTCAAGTGATTATTATTATTATTGTGATAATAGCATGAAAATTTGATAAATTTAAGGGGGAACTTACCTTACGGCTTAAGATAATCAAATGTTCACACTTTGCTTATGTTGGTAGTTTTATGATGATATTGTTTTAATTTCTTAGTTACTTTGTTTTTTTTTTTATTAAAGGGGAGAAAATTAGTTAAAGTATAGTATTTGTATGTGATCACGTTGAATCGGATGTTTAGAATTGTGTATTCATTTTTCTGATCAACTTGTAGTATAATATTAATATATAGTTGCAGAGAAAATTAAATATTTCCTTAGTTAACGGCTAAATTTCATGAGCAATGGTATAAATCATGTGTTGTGTTCAGACTAGCTGGCCTGACTCTAAGATAATTGAGATTGAATGAATAATAATGATGAATTTATCATGCTAATTGTTTTTTCATAAGCAACGGCAATAGCACCAAATTTCACCGTAAGAAAAAAAAAATAAAAAAAAAATTATAATATATTTATTTGCTAGTGTCAAAAATTCAATATGGTTGATTAGAACACGATTACATTTCCTTGCACTTTTTTGACAGACTTAACTAGTGCCTCTATCTGCTTGAAAGGTATTCCATACAGGCATAAATCGTATAATATGTCATATTAATGGCGGTGATTTTTTTTTTTAAAAAAAAAAATCTATATACTACGTGTATTATTATATATAATTAGTTGGTGGTTTAACACTTTTTACCGTCTAAATATAAGAGTTATAATATTAGTATTATACCATTTATACACCTCTATCACCAAATAACTAAAGTCGTCATTATTGGTTTTATTTTAAATTGTTCCAAAAAGTTAATGTTTCCTATATTATTGTCAACGAATAAATGTTACATAGTCACTTGTCTCTATACATATCTTTAATGGTTAATATTTTCAAGTACATACGAGTAATATAAATGACAATTACATTTTACACGAAGTAAAAATGACAATTTCCCAGAAAAAGAAAATGACCATATTACATACTTTGTACATAGCAACCCACATAGATTCAAAGTACTATGTACTATGCACTATGCAGTACATGAACTTTCAGTTTGTTCCTAAGAAACTTGGTATCCAAGAAACAACTATCATTTGCATGCAACGTGGAGCACCTTGAACATGAGGATCGAAGATACTAACGATATATAGTGTTGTTACAATAATCATAGTTGTATGAATTAACATGTATAGCGTTACGTATATATACTATATCTGGATCTATTATGCCATATTAATGAAATAATAATGGACCTACCCATGACAAACTGAACAAAAAGCTACCTAATAAATCGATCTATGCATGCCTACTTTTTGGACCCAAATTTTCAATCTCTTTTGAGTCCGTACTAAAGAACATACGAGGTACTAAAAGTTTGTAATAAAAGTGTAAAAGTCCACAACTTTTTTGTAGATTGTCACCAATAATAAGCTTTTAAACATATGTGGCTTTACGAGGGATGATATATAATTGATTAGAGAGGCGGCTAGTTACGTGCGGATAGGTTTTATTAGCGTGCAATTTGCAAAGTATGGAGATATAATAAGGTGCATTTATCATGTACAGTGAATTGGGTTTGGATTTGAGATTATATTATTCGTATCGGTTCCGTCACATATGTTGATATGTACATCAACTCTATATATGCTTTGTTTGTGAACATATACATACTATATATAATAATGTTGGATTATATTGTGTTACAAAACATGTGTAGAAGCCAATAAGTAGGGGTATTAAATGTTCTAATGAACTTAAGCTAGTTCACTCGTGAACTATTCAAATGCGCACGACTTGAATTTTGTAGGAATTAAGCTCAATTAAGCCTATATCAGAAGGATCAATCGTATATATAATTAAGCTCAAAATAATTCAATACCAACTTTGTTATTTTATTTGCATTTTATATAAAATTTAACTTGAAATTTATGCTTGAGATTTACACATATTATAATTCATTACCAAAACTCAAAAATTATTGAGGCTCAGCTCGTGCTCAAGTGTATATATTAAACCAAGCCAAGCCAAGCTATGTTTCGCTGCACTTAATTTCATTTTGACTTGTTAAAACCCTTACATTGAAGGTTGCCCCCGACCACAATCGTTATAATGTAGAACATATTTTTTTGAAACCTAGCAGAGGATGCTAAAGATCAAAAAGTGGGATAAAAGAAAGAAATATACCATGTATATCCTTAATTAGTCTTTTGTCCATAATAATGTAATCATCTTATATATGCAAAAGTTAAATAATTGTTCGATCTTAACTTCATGTGTTGGCAATAATAATACTAAGATGCGATGCTTATCCCAAATTATTGGTTCTGGTGAATGTATTCTCTAACTTTGGACAGGCTTAGACGTAACAATTTTAATATAATTTGACTTTGATAAATAATTGAAAATATAAATTCAAAACCTAAGGTTTCACAATCATTCAACAACTTTATACCAACCATGCAAGTTATTCGGCACCGGCATGCTTATATATGTTAGGACTTTCTGTAATCTCTATGTGAACTATTTCAGCTCACAGGTTTTTAATAATTTGTGAGCCAGCGCAAGATTTTTCTATTAGTTACAAAAAATTAAAATTTAAATACTGCTGTTGAAATACAACTCATAAAATACGATTAAAATTATTATATTGATCCTATAAACAATACATAAATGAGTCGAATTTTTAAGAATGGAGATAGTTTAGTGATTTTTGTTTGTTTGGAGGCATGTCGGGTGATAATTTTGAGTTTATTAATATCTCCTTGTATAGTGTGACTATTATAGAATTTTCACATCTAACATACTTCGTATAATCTTTGTAAGATAAATCTAATACTATCTCCGTTAAGTATTAGTTGCAACTTTAGAATATTTTATATCTCAAAAATAATACCCAAAGTTGCAACTAATACTTAACAGAGGTAGTATTATACCCTCTCCATCAAAAAGTACTTCGTTCATTTCCACAATCCATTATTTAAAATTTTACTAAAAAGACCTATCAAATAAAGATATATTATTAGGTCATCAAAAATTCATGTCACTAAAACCTTATTTCTAATGTTAGATTTCAAATTAGATTGATAAAAAAAAAATTATCACAAACTATTGCGTCAGTCCAGCCTAATTAAATGTTTCGTCAGTCCAGCGAGTTTTTGCTTTATACCAATGATCGCTCCCATCGGCGGCGTTGTTATTGGCGGTGGTATTGTCGACGGTGAGAAACTCAATGATTATTGATTATATTTGTCCATGATTTGTGCTTGAATTGACTTGATAATTTCTTGAGATTCTTGGATATTTCGAGAAATGCCCAAAAAAATCGATGTGGGGCTTTCTTGTGTGATGTATAATTGTTGAAATTGATTGTCCTATGTGATTGTATGTTAAATTGTGAGCGTTTTGATAACAAATGCATGTATTTTGGTTGAGAAATGAGCATGTTATATTATACCCATGAGCTTAGTACGAGACCTTTAATGGTGGTTCCGCCATTATTGACCTTTTAATTATTTTTATAAAATAAATTCTATTGTCTAGATTATATCATCTGTAATAAGTTGGATGATACCCTATATAACAGGATGTGATATTATGTATATCAACCAACAAATAAAAGAAACATATCAGCTAAGAAAAGGAACATATCAACCAACAAAAGATAGATATCAGCTAACAGATTGAATATATTACCCGACAAATGAAGCTTATCAGCCAACAAAAGGATGAAATCAGCAAACAAAAGCAACAGGTAAGCCAACATATTGTACATATCCTCTATCAAATAATATATATCTGAAAGGAATGGTGTCCTTCGAACAAGTGTATTATTCCGATAGAGGATTCGGAATCAATTACGGAGTTGATTATTCAGTGAAGTCAAGTAATCGGAAAGTCAGGCTAGAGGCCATCTTTGATCAGTGAGATTAATCATATTAATCTCACAGCTTTCCTTTAACTGAACCCAACGGGTCACACTCAAGCGTGCAACCAAACTAAGGCGACGAATTAAGCCGAAGGCCTTAATACGTCAAACAAGAGGATACGTACTCCAACGTTGGATTCCGAGCTTAGAGCGTCGAAGCCGAACGTCGAGTTAAATTCTGAGAATTAACGAGACGTACAAATAAGTCAAACAACAATTAGAAAGTCAAAGTGCATAGCCCTAGCCTCGTATTGGCCTAGCCATACGAGGGCTAGACCAGCACATGCTGCCGCAAGCTAACAATTGCCGCAAGTACCAGCAGCCCGCAAGGGCGTGCGGGATTTCGAACAGCAGCAACATAAGGCGCCAAGCAAGCCCGCATGCTCGCAGCAGGTCAGCTATCATCGCGCACCAGCAAGCCCGCAGCATGGCAGGCCCGGCAAGGCAGCCAGCAGCGCAGAGCAGCCCAGCAAGTGCAGTGGGCTTGTAGTGCGGCTGGCAGGCCCATGCCGAGTCCACAAGGCCTTGACCGGCCATTCCTTGTTGCCCAAGGATGTTGACCGGTCTTGCCTTGTTGTGATTGGTGGGTTTTGTGGCTTGGGGAACAAGGAGGCCATGTGGCTCTCCTTGTGGTCCTCACCTAAACACTCCCATGTGATTGCCATTTGTTGTTTGATTATTTGTTATTTGCATTTTAATTTTTATTTTAGAATTAAATTAAAAGCATTTATTTCTCAACTTTGCAAAGTCCCACATTGATTGGAAATCAAGGGGATGGAGATGCTTCTTCTATAAATACCCAAGGCCTTCTTTGGGAATTGTTGCAAGAATTGAACTCTGTACAAGACATCTCCATTGAGAAAACAGTATAAAGAGATCTTCTCGTTAGTAGTGTTAATATTTCCCTAGCCGGTAATATTAGCCAAGTTTGGGTGCGTTGGTGGACCGCGTTGGAGGGGTTGCGTTTGAGGCTCTTTCTCCGTTCGTGAGTTCGTGTTCGTGCTAAGAGGAAAACACGCATCAAGGGTATGATCGTCTTTTCCTCTTTCTCTCTCTCTATGATTATGTGTTTATTGTTTAATTAATTGTACGCATGTTTAGTTGGTTTAATTTATGCACAGGTCTTTGGGCGGGTTTTGTTTCCGCACGGTATTGGACACCGCAAAACCCAACAGCGGTATCCGAGCCGCGTGCATTTAATTATTGTGACTAATAATAATTAAGGTGATTTAAATGGATTTAAATTTCTAATCTAGCAACCTAATTAGATTAGGACCTCGTTTTTAATTAGATTAAAATCGTATTTTTGCTATTTTTGGTCTATGAACCCATATTTC